TATTCTCCTTGGTTTTCTACCCGCTTTGACTTTTTTTTTTTTTTTTTTTTTGATGTTCATTGCAATGGATTATCGAGTTACAAGAAAAGGTAGTAAATGGATTTAATTGCGAACAGTTACTGATTTTGTGACGCGCTGTCGTGGCATTCTTCGACTCCCTGCACGTGTTAAAATGGGCAGCCCCAGACTGACAGCTGGCACCTACATTAAAAAAAAAACTTAAGATTTATGATGAGTTATTGCCAAATTTAGTCGTTGCTTGTTTACAGTTCTTTGTTATATGGCGCAGTTTGTTAGATCGTGATCTAATTTGTCTGACGAAGTGCCAGCAGCTGTATGAACGTACACCAGTCACACTGTAATTTATATGCGGCAGACTTTAATGGACCGTAAAACCAAGACAGAATAACTGTTAACTCCAGACCTGAACAGTAATATTGACAAACGGCTAAACTAATGCAGAGCACTGTAACTTAATTTGAGCGGTAACTGATGATCCTGTGTTCTGCTTTGGTTTCTCCGGGGCTTTTCTCCAAGATACTTGTATACATGATAAAGGAGGTTCTATATGTCCCAAAATTATCATTTAACTCCTTTTCGACCAAATTTATGGTGTTTTGTCTTTGCACTGCTGTCACTATAGATGGGTGTGGTTTCTGCAACCAGGCACCTCCGCTTCACCCACATCCCACCTTTTGCCCTTTTTCAATTATCTGGGAGTGATGCGCTGCCAAGATGGTCGCGGTTGGCTCCGCCCACTTTAGGCTTCAAAAATGTTCTTCAGGAAACTATGAGTGAAGTCACAGAATTTTTTTTATTTTTTTTTTTTTTTTTTATAAACCCAACGGATCTCATATTATATTTTCTATACAGGTCGAACTGAGACATGACAAGTAATGCAGTTTTTGTAATGCCATTAATTGTTATCATTCTGACAGTCTATGCACTATGATCGACTATATGTTCCTATTGGATTGAAAACCTGTGCCAAGGTTTTGACTGAATGACTCGATTTTGAATCGGGTTTGCTGTGTTTTGATAGAGTTAGTAAATGTAGAAAAAGGTAGTCAGCATTTTGAAACATAGAGTTTGTATTTATTTAACAAAATGTGGTTTTGGCCAGAAAATTAACAATTTGGCTAATTGTGTGAAATAAAAAGAATTGCGATTTGAGTCGTGTGTGTGGTTTTTGTTTATTGCAAATGATTTATTCTGAAGCCATGTTCTCAAAGGATTTCTATTAGCTGTGACTAATTTTTATTTTTAATAGGGTGGTTTTTATTTATTTTTCTTCGTGGGCTAATGACACTTTGCTCAACCGATTTGTTCAGAACACTGAATCAATCAGCATTGAATCGGCTGATTGCTGTGAGGTGCACTATGTTCCGCCTAAAATGTAAATGTTTTTTTTTTCCCCGCATTTTTGCTGCAGCTGTTTTCCGCACCTTTTGCAAAGTCTTTATACTTCTGTCTTCACATGGCGTTTCTTCAGATGGTCAAGAGTGACCGATGCATCTGCCTCATGAGCTGCAGTCAGTTTCTCCTCTGTACACATCATCCATTTTTAAGAAGTACAATTTTGAACTTTTACTAGGAAGCCTATAAAGTATGTTTCAGGAATTACAAACGCTAGTGTAAATTACGAGTCAATGCTGTGATTGGCAGTGATAAAGCAATGGATGGAACAAAACATCTGACGAGCCGATGTAAATAAAATAAAAACAGAACAGTGCATTAAATGATTTAGAATAAATTCAGAGTAACAAAACCACTGCAGCAGCAAGTCTGTTTGCTGAATATATTTAGCAGCTTCTACAGTTAAAGAGAACTTAATAGTTTTTAAATTAAATCTACAAAATACTTAAATATTTTAATTGTACTATTAGCGATCATAAACTTCTGTAGTAGGATTAAGAGAGAATTCTATCAAATTAAAATCCATACTCTTACAATGAATGTTTTTGCTCCTCCCACAAGATTTCAAAGACTTCCAAACAAACTCTTAGAGAAAGGAGTACTTGCCAACAAATTGAAATGGTGTTCAGCAGCAAATGTCATAACGGATTCACTAACAAGAGACACATCTCCAAGTTATCAAATCAATTAACACAATTGTCTCAAATAAGCAAAAAAACAACAGACGAGCCCCAAATTGTTACATAAATACCCATCTAGGGCTGGGGAGCCAGTAAAAAATAAGAAAGTAATATCTAAAGGGGAAAAAAAACTCTTGGAGAACCAGAGCAATTCAACCTCCCGTCCCAGAGTCTACACAAACCCCAATTTGAATTAATATCTTTTTAATTTGAAAAGATAAACCGAAACCGTAGTCCCAAAGGAAGCGTTAACAAACATATAGGGAACAAAGTCTTCAGGGACCCATTCTTCATAACTCGCTTAATAAATCTGAGATGATTTGAAAGATGCCAGATCTTCTAATCGTTATAACTGATATCTGGCTAATTTGGTTCTTCTATTCGAATTTGCGTATTTGATTACAATATCTGGATTAAGTTGTCTAAGATTACTGTGTGTTCTCGTGTTCCCCGTAAAGGGCAGATGTATCGATACTCGAAACCACGATCAGCAATGCACCGACTGGCTGGCGGCAAGACAGCGACGTAATGATGTCATATAATTAAATAAGATACTTGACGAAAAACTTGACAAATTTCTGGACCTTTATAAGGAAACAGCCAAGTGAACAAAACTATGTACATTTTATAATAGGTCAACGAAGTGTGCACTGATTTTATTTAATTTATTTTATATGATTCCCAATTATTTATATTCACAATTACTAGTATTTGTACAGGCTTTACATTTTTAGTTCAATGTTGTAGTTAGCAAGTCATGTAATTTTATCTTTGAAGCAGATTTGTTATGTGACTGCATTAAAGTTTCTTAAGGGTGACGGTCAAGTTATCTGCGTCTCCTGCGCTCCATCAAGCCACTCCCATAATATGTCAGCACTCAAATTAATGCACGACTCAGATTAACTGTATGTGTGTAAGACTCTAATACAGTTATAAAGTTATTATTTTATCACGAATAAATCTTTCAATTAGTAAAACTGGCTGTGTCTATAGTATTATAGATTACACAACATTATAATAATGATGCATAGACTGATCTAGAGATTCCTTCAGCTTTTAAAAGAAGTGCCTGCCCCTGAATTGACAAATCTCTTTGCAACCACATGGTAAATATCTTACTAGTTTTAGTAATAGTTGGATTGAAATTCAAATCATAGCGCAAATATAACATCTTTATATATGTCAGCAATCACACTAGGAAGCTGAGGTAAGTGATACGAATCAACCGGTTTACTGATATCGACAGATGTATACAGAGCAAGAGTCCAATGGTAAGTAAGATGGGTATGGAATGAGATCAAGGTTCTTATCTGTGCGGTGATACAGTCTCTGTATTGCAGGCAGTCCCAGGAGCGGTGGAGTGATGGAGCAGAAGGAACAGCGGGAATGGAGACGTTGGAGGACCGTCGTGGTAAGTATCCAGGTATGGAGTCAGGTAAGCTTGACATAGCAAATGGTAGACCAGACAATAAGCTGAGGGATCTGTGCACTGATATAGGGAGCGTGATGAGCATGGACAGGTGTGTGCAATCAGTAGTCAGGTGAGTGTGATCTGGTGAGCGTTGGGGGCGGGGACTGTGGTGGCTGAGGTGATTGTGACTCCCTGACAGTACCCCCTCCTCCAGGGGTGGCTTAGCAAGGAAAGATCTAGAATGTCGTCCCAGGCCACCCAGGATCTTTCCACGAGGTACTCGAGCCGACCGTCCCGTCACTCAGCTTCTTGCAAGACAGGCGGAGACGTAGATCCCTCTTGGAGAGCCAGACTCTGTCTCCTGGATGATATACTTTGTCTATTTCCTGTTGCTGTAATTCGATCCCTGGATGATATACAGATTCTACATTTGTGAGATGGGCATACTGCGGGGTCGGAGAAGAGAAAGAATGCGGCAGATGAGCGCAGACAAGCAACAGAAATTAAGTTTAACTAAAAATAACAATTAGTTTTTATTAAATCATAGTCTACATATAAAAGGAATTAATGCATGAAATATATTTGCCTCAAATAATTAACAGATTAACAAAAAGAAAGAAAAAAGACAATAATGTAAAATATGCTGAGTTTGGTTCATTTTTGTGGCGCTGCGCTGTGCAAAAGTTCACGGAAAGGAAACCGAGATGACAAGCGCATCCTAAAATTAAAGTAAACGCATTGCAGTTTCGAAGGATCTGTATGACCAAAAATGACGGATTATTTTATGTTTCCGCTGTTCGATTGCGCCGGCGCCTCCGCACACACATACAGCATTGCAAACATTGCAGCCATTCATTATCAGAATAAAATAGTCAACCAAATATAGATAAACTGGTTAATTAAAATCGTCCGTACAGTCCATGTCATTCAGCCTGAGTTCGGGCCAAGCATATTTGTTCATGTGAAGAGTGTGATATT